TTCGATCAAACAAAAATAGATCAAAAGTTGATGGTGTGCGTTGTTAATTTGTCCATATTTACAACTAACACAAACCAAAGATAGCATAGAACTAATTATACAAATAGCCAAAAAACACATCACACCATACATGCCACAGATAATCCAATCAGTCACAGGGAGCCTACTCTCTGAAATTCAGTCTTACATATCAATATCCAAGGTGTACCTGCTTCCACGAAACATGAGATTGAAGATATTACTAACACACTAAAACCAGATATATGTGTTATAACTGAATCCTGTATATATGCAAACCATAGATTTAAAATCAAAGAATATGCAATAATAAGAAAAGATAGATTAAATAACAGAGACCAAAACAGAGGTATCCTAATAATGTATAAATCAGATCTCATTGTAAAAGAAGTGCAAGTATCTTCATCAAATGAATGTATAGCCATAGATGTGCTAACAGAAAATGCGTTTATTGTAATGGTAGCAGGTATCTACTGCTCACCGAATAAAAATCTAGATACAAATCTATTGTGCCATATTAATAACCATAATGCCAATACCATTATAACAGATGATTTAAATAGTAAACATACAATTTTCAACTGCAACTCAACAAACTTAGATGGAAGAATATGATATAGACATTTATCAGAAACAAACAGTGCTCTTAAATGATGCCACCCCGATACATATCTCATATGCACATGGCATCAGTGTTATACTGGATCTTTGCCTGTGTTCATGCAATATAAGTCGAAAATTCGTAAATTTTCAAGTAGGAAAAGATATCGACAGCGATCATTTTCCTGGTTGGAGCACCTTGAAACTCACTCCCATACTAATAAATCAATACAAACCGAAAAATTCAACTATAAAAAAGCAAATTGGATCGAATATAAATCCAGAAAGTCGATCAAGCTAAGGGTTATTCAGGATCGTTTCTGGGAACGTCTTTTCGTTGATCGTCTATGAAAACAGTTGTTCAGTTATCCCTCATATAATGAGCGAGTTTAATGATATGCTTAGTTCAGATAATTTTCATTTAAAATAATCTGTTGTTCCTTGCACTGGTACATTACCAACTACTGCGTCAACATCGAAACTGCCCATTTTTCCTCAATATTTTGTATATTACCTGCAAAATCCATATTGGTTTCTTTCTGTAGAGACAAAATATTTCCTAGAACTGGAGCTAAATGTTCCGTTAACCATTTGGATAATGAATATGCTATAGATCACACGTTAGCTTCTGGCATGACAGAAGTTGTTATTATCTCTTGGGTAAATCGCATATCTTGTGGTAGCGATAAGCTGATAAGTTTGAATTTACTTATAAAGTTCAGATAATATATAAGAATTACGTGAAGAGACCTGTTATATCAGCAACGTTCTTCTGGAGAGGATTGGATTTCTTTTTTTCATAGATATTCCGGTATTATAGAAAGTCGTCCATATTTTTTTATCGCAGAATGTTTTATCCAATATAACAATTTCATTTAGTTTGTTTGATGTGGAAATTATAATACACCTGTTCATTTTCAAAATTCTGAGAGTCTCAATGAAGTAGGGGGAACATTCATAGCATATAAAATTGAGGAAGAACAAGGCAACTGTACGCTTCACAAATACATCATTTATTCACGACCATGATTTCGCCAGTAAAGTCATCATCACGCGAAACCATGGTCGTAAATAAATGATGTTTTTTTGAAACGTACGATTGCTTCCTGACCGATAGAACCGTCAAGCTACTAAGATGTTGCTCTGCCATGTTGCTCTTGACAAGCTGCAATGTAGAGAAGGAGCGCTTGCACTAATAAGACGTGACTGGCTGTGTTAGAATCAAGCATAAAGAGAGCTCTAGTTCGATTACGTCGATATGATCCATTACTTTACTATGTACTAGTAAATCTAGTGAACTCCTTTCAGTGTGAAAGACTAAACGACTTCTGCAAGTGATCGAGCTAACAGCTTGTATTCAAAAACCAGAAGTTCACAGCTGATATCATCGACATAGAAAGCAGCCAGGACATAAAACTTGGTGATTTTATCTGTATTTGGAGCACTAAACAATCGTATACAGGGTGATTCAAAATAATGTATACACATTTTGAAATATACATCTTTAACATTTATTGCACTGAATAAACAACAATTTGTTGTGTACACAAGTGAACATGTAAAAACGACACGCAATGGTCATCTTATTTCAAATGTTCCAAATGTCCACCATTTGCACGCAAACATGCACTGCAACGTTCCAAGACAGATCGGCTTACAGTGGTGCACGTGACAATTGAGACGTTTTGTACTTCCTGGATAACATTTTCCTGGAAGTCTTTCAGTGTTCGAAGTTAAGCACCATACGCATTGTTCTCTAGAACCCCTACAGGTAGAAGTCCAGAGATGTAAGGTCAGGTCATTTCATGTCATTTTCATATTTCACTTCTGTGCATTGGAAAAATTTGAATCACCCTGTATTGTGTTAAAATAAATAAATAGCATAGTGTTAAAAATCATTAACTTAACTCTAATGTGTTGTAATGTAAAGAAGAATGATCAAATTTACACTTCGCAGAATTTATCCATTTTACACTGTCACGTTTGTTGTCAAACACTTTGCTAATATAAATAGCGTGTCAACCACTTATTGGCTGTTCTATTTCAGCTGGCCTGAAGGGTCCTTGTATTGGATGATAGGTCGCGTCGGCACTGATTATAGCAGATATAGTGTACATGACATATTATTTTACATTTCTGTACTTTCACTCTGAAGTTCTTATTGATAATCAGTGAACGTCAAGAGTGGCAAAATATTTTCAGAAACTCGAAATCTTATAGCTATCAGCAGCAAATACAACACTTTGTAAAATAATGTGACTGTGTAACGATCTTTGCCGGTTAATATTACTTGAGTTTGAAAATTTATCGGTGGAAGAAAGCACATTAAAACCTAGAATCATAAAGAGAACGGCATATTAAAACCCGAAAGAGCATGGAACTCATTATTGTCATACAAATAAATTCCTAATTAATGTTGAGTGAGAAATAAATATGCTTAGAAAAATATGTTAATACTATACAGCCATCAATACCTATCATATATATAATTTTCAAAGTTCGAGTCTACTAAGATGTTAGTCGGAACAGCCCATAAAACTCGGAACAGCTTCGAATCATCCAAATAAAATTTTTAGAACAGGTTAAATACCTTTTTACTTCATTTTACTAACACTAAATTATTATTCGAACGGAAAAGTATATGTTAAACATACGTTA